TCTCTCGTCGCGATTCGACTCGCGAGGCGCGCCGATGTTACGAGGCATTAATGACTTATTGGCATGTTGAATCATCATTAAGAGACTACTCCCGATTCTTTTCTCTCGACGCGCAGACTTCAACGCCGGCTTTCTTTTCTTCACTTTCCGTCGTCTACGAGGCACGCCAGCCTCGCGCGCGGATGCTCGTCCCTTCGTGACAGAAAGTGCAAGTAATAACACGCGTTGGGGCAGAGCTCGTCATTATTTCCTACCGTTTGATCGCGCGCGCGTGTGCGCCACGCGTGTTCCGGTCACGGCATGTATGCGCGAAAGGTTCGGTATCGACGTGCAAATGACACGTTAGACACGGGGAAAATCGCCGGCGCACTTATGTGCGTGTGTATCCAGCCGATCGAGGGTACCCGCTAATTTCGAAAGATATCGTGTTGCTGGGAATTTAAATTTATACCGGAGGCTAGACGCGAAACGCGCCTATCGCGATAATTTTCCACGATTTTATGCAGTCAATTTTTTACGATCGTTTAAACGCGGAATTTTTACGCCGTTTACGTTACGTATTTTTCTATCGATGTGCTTAGTTGTGCCCAGACTATGTTCTCTCTTAGAATCATTTAAAAATATGTTGCATATTCAATATAAAAAAAAAAAAAAAAAAATACACGTTTTACTTTCGCATCCGTCACTTTCACGAAGATCGTGTCATGATGCATTATATATTTATACACCTAGACTTTGTGTAGACGCGCTCGAGGCGCGTCTCGAGGCGAGAAATACTCGCTCGAGATTGTCGTGCAAACATTCTGACGAAATCACTGAGTATTTGACGGATTAGCATTTCAGAGATCAGATGATAGAGCAATGATTTTCAGCTTGGCGAGATGATAGATTAGAATGATTCGCGTGAGAGATTGGATTTTCTCGCGATAACGATTACGTAAGAGAGCGAATTATATATTTTTAAAAAATACAGTGTCTGATCGCAGTATCTGATCACAAAGAGGAAAAGCAATCTACGTATTAACATTGATAACCTTAATCAACATTATATTATGATTTTTATTCTCGAGAGAAATTTATGAAAATTATGCAAAGATATGCACACATAAAGCGTAAAGGAGGTAATATGATAAACACACGTTTACGTAAGTGCGTAACACGCGCGAGAAATTTCGCAAAAGTAGGCGTCGAAAGCCACTTATCGCTGATTTACGACGCGACCGCCGTCATTTTCGATCGAGCGGAGAAGAAAAGGTTCGCACGTCGCGTATCTTCACCTCTCGACGTACCGCAAAACGTCGCGTCTGCGAAAATCCCGCAAATCCCCAGGAGACACGTGTAAATACAAGACGAGGAAGATTACAGTGCTCTCTCCTCGCGCGTAAAAGATGCGGACGTTTCAACGAAGGCGGATGCATAATACATACACTTGTATCTCTCCGACAATGCCAGCGGAGACGTATTTATTGCAGACTCTCCATTGGAAAATGCCTCGACTGTGAGCGACCGTACGAAATATATATAACGCACACACAGCGTTATTACGGTCGCGGACGGTGCGTCTTATATGAAATCGATTTCGGCAGGGCGAGGTAGTAGAACCATCTTCATTCTTTCCAACTTGCCTCGCGAAAGCTCCAGGGAGACTCACCTATATTTCATGATACAATACATACCTCCAGGCCTCCGGCGTTTCTCCAATTTTCTCCGCTCATCGTTCCGTATATTACCCGCTTGTTGCCGCGATAGCCGCAACAATGAACATTGCTCGGCCAAACAATGTCTTTGCTGTTTTCAACGCGCGATACGGCCAAGCCTCGTCGTTGAGGCAAGTTGAAGTAATGGTAGAAACGGCAAGGTCAGAAACATCGCGATTTGGTCTTGTCTCTCAAAATGGTCTCTCAAAACACGATACAAAGAGATCGAAAGATCTCAGTTGTGCGATTTACGTCAGATATTACTCGGGAAGTTGATAAAAATCTTTTCTTCCACTGTATTTCTTTCACATTGTATTTTATAAAAATTTATAAAAGTATCAAATACAAGGTGTAAATAAGTGATAATTTAGGAGATGATTCTTTGTCGAAAATTAAAAGGGGTTTCTTATATAAATATATAATTTTATATCCTTTCCTGAAGAGTGACACTTTTTAAAGAGAGAGTTTTTATTTTATATTATTTTGTTTGAAAAATTTTCATTCGATTTTAAAATATATATTATCGGATTTTTACATCTCCAACGATTGATATCCCTATAAGAGAACGAGAAAGAAACTATCGCAATTGTATCGTCGACATACGTATCCACCCCTGCCAACAACATTGTCGACCTGGTTCCGAAGACGGCAGATATAAACGTCGGGACTCGTTCGCAAGCCCACGCAATTTTAGTGACTCACTTCGGGATATGCGAGAGAGGCGCTACGTTCTGTCACTTACAAATGGGTTTCACGACGGAGAGCAGAGCATAATGTACGAAAGACAGGCAGAGGTTTTATCGTGCGCGCTCTGCGAGATAGGATCGCAAAGACATACAGGCCGGTTCTTTCCCGAGCCTTTCTTCGCACAGATACGTCCAATTAAACACTTTCCCTAACTCGCGAGAGATGATTACACGACTGTAATTTATTCCCGCGTATAATCCGCTGCTCTCGAGCCATTACTCTTTCTGTTTAGTACGACGCGGCTTTCTTCCGACTAAACAGATGTTTTAATGTCAACGCGAGGGCAGCTGTTGATATGTATGTTTTTCGAAAACGGTTTTTGATATCTTCGCAACGATACTCCGTCGACGTAGGCCGGTTACATTGACACACAACGTGGTAATTTTACAGTCGTGCCCCTTTTTTGCATCACCTAATAAGCTCTACATACCACGTCGCGTTGCACGTACACGCTGTCGCACTATCAAGATCCATTTTACAACGAACCCTTCTCCCTTTTTCAGTTCTGGCACATTCGTGTACCCTCTCTACCCTTTTCAACGCAAATATATAGGGTGTCCAGTAATAATCACCCCACATCGCGTGCAGATAGAGCGGGTTAAACCGAGTAGTCCTCTATCGTTTTGCGATCTTTACAATAATTAATGAGAAGTTAATTGAAAATCGGTCAATTGCGCATCACGCCTGTCGAGCGATTTTTTGTTTTCGTAATAGATCATTTTTTTCAATAAGTTTCAATATGTTCCATACTTTGTATAAAGTTTAATGAATTCTATTAAAGTTCTCTGGGGTTGCCCTAATCGATACTTTGAGATCGAAAGAGAAAGAGAGAGAGAGAGAAAACGAGAATTTATTTTTTTCTGTCATTTGTAAATAATATATTATCCCTTGTAAACAACGATGAAAAATAGCGTTGAAAAATATTTTTTAAAGTAAAAAAGAGTGGTAAAAACGATTAACTTGTTTACGAAGAGTGTGTATTTATCGAGTGAAAATCATGGCTTTATATGTTAAAAAAATAACCTTGGTTAACTTTATGTACACATATCTATACATATATGTAATATACGCATATTTTCATTACGTTAAAAAATATATTGCGAAATAAAGAAATTTTATCAGACAAGTTAAATACAGTTTATGCGAAATGCACTTGACAGTTTCGCGAAACCGTGCTTTAAACTAAGTTATTTGCGACGTTTATCATTTTTTTGTCGCGATTAAAAAAGAACTTTAAATATACTTCCCTCTTGCCTCTCCACATTCCCATTCCATATCGCTGAGCATACTGCCTTATACCCGTTTAATTTCCGGCACATCGCGTCGCCGGAGCGCAGCGACGAAAGTTTCCCACAATTCAGCAGAGATAAAGCATTTATTGAATCAGATAAAGTTTAATTTACCGTACTAACACATACAAATAGGAATGGAAACGTCACTCGCGTTTCGGTAATCGAGCAATTCCGCTCGATCGTCGAATTTATTGTTATTAACGTTTTTGTTTCAATCTATTTAAATTTTGCACATGCTCTCGCAGAGAAAACAATTGAAATAGACATGTGTACGTTGGCAAAACTAACTTTTATTTAATCAACGAAATATCCTCCTCTTCGGCATTAATTTTATCGGCGATTTTATCTTGATTCACACAAATTTCGCTTTTCGTTTTAATCGAAAGAAAGTCGATCGTGTTTTCAGAATATATTCGATAGAGACAATATTGTCCTAGATATTTAAAGGTCTTTGTAGCGCTACGAATTATAGCAACGTCGTATAGATGGATTGCGAAAAGCTGTCCAGTTTGGAAAAGCTCGGGTAGGATTCGATAAAGGAAAGGCGAACCGAGAGAAAGTGAAGCAAAAGGGAAGAGAGAGAGAGAGAGAGAGTGCACACGTGACTGGTATCGACATTTCAAAATTGCAACGCTCCCGACGTCCATTGTCACCTATTTCCGCCTTCTTCAACTTCTATATAAAAAGCACGTACCTATTTTTGACGAAAGAAAATCGAAAGAAGGCTGCCGCGAAGAGCCCCGGGATCGAGAGCGGAGGTGGCGGAAGATAGAATATCTTGTCCCTGTCGAACGTCCGGAGACAAGCTGAAATTGAAGTAATATACAGCCCCTTGCGAGAAGGTGCGCCTTTAATACCAACCCCGAGAGAAGGATGTTTCTTCGCTGGCAAAAAATTATTGACAGTATGCCGATAAAGTACGTTTGCAGAGTTATTACGGTACAAGCAAAGTCTTTACAGTGTACAGGCAAAGTCTTGATATGAGATTTCACGTCAGAAAGTGCCACGTGGATCTCTTGGATTATATATTGCGTATTCTCGAATTTATTTTTTCAAGTTGTTTAAGCAAAGATAATTTGCGTATATAATTTCGAGATTAATATAAAGTGAATATATAACTCTGCTTGAATTTCGAGAGAAGTGAAACGCGTCTTGCGAGAATATATTATCTTAAAATATACGGGAGAAAAAATTTGCAAATTAATCGATTCGACGGAAAAAGAAATATATGGGATATATGTGTAGATTAATGAAAACGAGTGGGTTTGACTCTGAGGTATACAAGAATATTTTATTCGTCGAAAGTAACAAATATACAATTCTCTCAAATAAATCGTCGATTTAAATCATGTCTGTTATAATTAGCTCGTTTTATGCGATCGCGCATCATCGTCCTCGTGTAATCTCGCGATCTCTGTATTGTCGACACGCGTAAAAAGGATATTATATACGACATTCACGAAATTCTGATGCAACAATTAAGAAAACGGAAGTGTATACGTACGCTTACAAAAAAACCGAGGTAATTTTGGCACGATTTTCAGAAAAATAATCACTCGCTCGTGCTCGCGTGCGTTCGTGTTCATAACAAATCGATATAATATAATTGCGTCATCGCGTCGAGGTGACGTCGCGGATATTGTCGCGATCCGCTCGAACTTTACTTGGTGTCCTTTATATATAATATATATCTATATATATAACATATATTTATATAGAAACATCCATCTAAAATGGATATATTCATCTGCGCGCGCGTTTTCTTCTTTTTAAATGTATGTATTTACATGTATGTCCGTCTAAATGCACAGTCCCTAATTACTTCGTCACAATTATATATAATATACGGTTTTCTTTCTTATAAGCGGATTATACCGCTTTTGAACTCGCGGATAAGCATTTCTCAGTCCTTAACTCGCGTCTGTAGGAATCCCTCTTCTCAAGAGGAAATTCCCTCGGACCTGCCACCATTAACTCACGTTTATATATACAAAAAAGTACCGGCGCGTTTGTCGCGCACAATTAAGGCAGTGTTTCGATGAGTCCGTTTCGGAGAACTAAGGGTTCTCCCGCCTATTCTCTTGCTCCTTTTCCTCTTCGCATCGATCCGGACTTCACTCGTGTTCACTCGCCGATCAATTTACCGTGTTCATCGGTCGCCGTGTTCGATCACCCACCGATATAAACACTGATCGCCCGGGTGGGCGTACAACGGCGTCGACTTTCACTCACCGCTGAAAACGCTCCTCCGGATCCGGTTTTCTGTTTGTTCAGAGCCACGGGCCGAGCTGCGCCTCCAGAATCGTGGCGGCGTCGGTTCTGCCCATTATTCTAAGATGGTTCAGCAGATCCGTCACCGCGGTCGGTTCCCGGTGCCTCGCCTCCCACAGATCGAGAATGTGCTCGGTCGGGCTGGCCTTGGTCGCGAAGTAATTGATGTACCTGTTACACACCAACGAAGGCACCGGCTGCGTGATTATACCCGGGGAAAGTGGTACGAGCGGATATGTATCGCTCGCCGAAATAGAGCGAGCTTATGCAACGCGAGACGAGTAAAGGTGCCTTTTCATACGCAGCAAATCGATCCAAATTGATTAGAGCATATTTCTTCGTTCTCTTATTATTTCAAGGTTGAAATTACGATTTTTGCTTTTATATATTCTCATAATCTATTTTTTTTATTCTTCAAATCCATTATTTGTTCTTCCGCTTTTGCTGGTCTTTCAATTGAACTTCAGCAAAAGCAACAAACTGCTGCAGCAACATGCTGCACATGAAATGACATAGCTTAACTCGAAACTCCGTCGCGATATTATAATTTTCGAAATTATTATCGTGCGAAAAAATGAATAAACTTTATTGAACGTATCATTAATCATTAGAGAAATTCTTCGACTTTATTATCGAAGCAAATATTTGCCGTCGAGGTGCACGAACGAACGCATTTTATAAACTGTACTGTATAAACATACCGGCGTATCTAGAGAAGTCGTAGATTAAGTATGGATAATAAGCAAGACGAGAAAGAGAGAAGAGAGTCAAAGGCACTAACCTGTCGACTTGAAGCCTCTGCGCCAGCATTCTCCAGTCGTTCCCCAGCGCGTTCGGCGGGTCTAAACACTGGCAGAGCTGCTTCCTCAAGGATCTCGTAAACCGAAATGGTCGCAGCGTAGTGGAGTCCGTCGTGGCGTTGTTAGCGTGTCCGCTGCTTACCACGGTGACTTCCCTGAGTGGTCTCGTGACGCTACCCGAGGAGATTAACTGTTTCGCGCCGTCGTAAACGATTCTGAAGACCTGTCTCGTGTCAGAGTTGCCTTGCGAGACCTGCAGCTTGTAGCTCCTCGTGGTGGTCGGGCCGAAAGCCGTGTCCAGGCCGAAGGTCACGTGCTTGGCGTTCTCCTGGCAGTTCCAAACGTCCCGGAACGAGACTTCTTGGCGTTCCGTGGGCGACTTGCTCTGCCACTCGTTGCCGACTTCTTCGAGGCTGACGCAGAGCGATTCCCCGTTGTCTTGGAACAGCAACGTGCGCGGCTTGTCCAACAAATAGCCCCTGATCTGCGACTCCCGATCGACTATAGCCTTCATGGCCGCTCTCGTGTCCTCCACGGCGTAAACCCTGACGCAACACTGACCGGCTTGGCTGGCGAAGAGGGCTAATCGCAGTCTCTTCGTGGCGATCGAGCTCTCGCAACTCTGACCAGCTAAAACGTAACCGCGAAGCTGCTCGGTCACGATAAACGCCTCCGCGTGGTCCAGCTGCGTGAATAACGGTGTATTGATGGTCTCGTTGCCTAGAGTTAGCACTCTGCTCCATGTAATCGACTGGTGGTCTTTCGACGCCATCGAGGACGAACCGTCGTCAACGTTAACGCCGTCGCACGCCCAAACGCTCAGTTCCCAGGTTGCCGGATGCAACATCGCGCAATGCTCGAATTGAAGGATCACAGGCTTGTTGAAGGTCGCCGACGACGGACCGCAGGTCAACACGGCCGATAACTGGGTTATCCCGTCTGAGGAAAAAAAGGGAATCGAGATTCGAACCGCGAAAATATGCATGCATTGTCGAGCTGAATGCCGTTATTGTATACAACGTTATCGTTATCGCGTCACAATTTCCGTTACGTTAAACTCTCGCGTTTGATTAATCACATTTCATATATTTAATGTGATTTAAAAGCGAAAAACACACGATCGTCCAATAACAATTTTATCAGAGATTGTTTTCTTTTATCCTCGTTCTTTGCAACACAAAAGAATCGATGTGGCGCTGGCGTATCGAACATTAAACGCGGAGTATGTAATCCGAAGCACGTGCAGAACGGCATTGATATAAAAATAACATCGCGTTATTGCGAACATCTCAGGTTCGCAGCTGCGATCGTAAAGCAGCTCGGCATCTGCTTCTCGGCGTGTAACGCGCGCAACGCCATGAATAATTTGCACTCACCGGGTAATCGGGGCCTGTAACGATCCTCGTTGAGCACCGCAAGATAGAGTTCCGCCCGGTGGGGTTTCGGCACGGCGCCCTCGGGCACCGACATCGAGATCCCGGAATCCGGAAGTACCAGGAGGGCGCCCCGAGTGTTCACCGCCGCCCTGGCGACGTTTCCGGCTTCCAGTTTCGGTAGTCGGACGCTCTCCGAGGCGACGTTGTACGTCGAGTCCGAGGACGGGTAGGAGCTAGTTACGCTGTTCTCGCTGTCGGAATGGATCTGCTTGTCGCTGCAGGACTCCTGGGTCGACGTGCTCGGGGTGGGCGACATCGGCGAGGGTTGGGGCGCGATCGACAAGTGTGGCACGTCGTAGTGATGCTCCGAGAGGGATCTCGACATCGACAGTTTCGGATCGAAAGGATACTCGTAGCAGGCCGGCACGCTCGTCGCCGTCACATCCGGCTGCAGGCTCAATTTCTTGTCCTGGTCCGGGAAGAACTCCGGCTGGAATTCTGAAACGCACACGGCCGTAGGGCGGCTCGTGGGTATCTCTGCGCGCTGCGGATAAACGCCGCCGAGATACTATTCCGATTTTACGTGTGTTGGGTCTACGATCGAGAGACTCGCGCGATTTTATTCATTGTTTTACGAGATATATATACCATATATATCTCGATTGGGTGATAAGACAAATATTTAATTTTATTTTTGCTCGTCTAGATGTAAATTGTTTATGCCGATCTCGAAATAGTATCTTGCTCATTTCTAATTTCACGTCCAGAGAACCACGCAAGAGAGAGATTCAGCTTTTCGTGACGCTGAATATTATAGGAAATCATTTTTTTATTGTGGTGCAAATATTTACTCTATTCGTGCATTTAATTAATCATAAAGAGAGAGAATATTAATTCTTTTTTTTTTTTACAATGCTACGAACATGCACACGTTCTTTTTCACTTCTATATATATATACATAATGCTTACCATTACGAGCCATGGAGTACAAGGAGTGATCCCGACCTTTCCGTCGCACGAGTCTCACCAGAAAGATTCCCAAACCGCCAATTACTATGCAGGCGACAGCTAGACCGACATACAAGGCTACATCCATCTGACGATTCGCTGTAAAAATCATTTCAACATTTTCCACCTCGTCCAATTTTTATAAATGGGAATTTGTGGATCGCGCGCGAAAATTTGTTTCTTCCTAAATAACGCTTATTATTTTAAACGGTGAGAAAATTGCGAGCAATTTTCAGTACACGTTGCGTAAAACCGCAGCATCGTTTCCCCATGAACTACTTAACGTCGTAACTTTTATTTACTTTTTACGCGAGATTCCTTTCGCGGAGACAAAAGAAGCCCAAAGGAGCGGTAAACGCACCCGCTAAATAAGAGTATGCCGTAGAAAAGTTTAAAGGTTCATCACCATTTACGCTCGGCGACACGCTCGTTTTCTTCAGCAGAGCGTCAGTTTATCGTTTTACAGCTCCGCGTTATTTCGTACGGCTATAAAGATTCCGATCATTATTATCGCAGCCATTAACGCACGCAATAAAAGCGCTGCGACATGAATACGTTTCGAGCGAAATAATAATCTTGAGTCTGCGCCGCGTTGCGTCTGATGTTGAAGAGAGAGAGAGAGAGAGAGGGAGAAAAAATCCGTCGACGAAAACTGCGATGTGGTTTAAAACCATCGACCGAGACTGTATCTCATAATGTAGCGGATATTTAACGAAGCATGCGGCGTGATAGATTAAATTACGCGAAGGTTCGTCCTCTGTCCTCGAGGCTCGCCCGGAGACGCGCTTATGCAAAAAGAAGGAGAGCGAATTCATCGCAGGGTGCTTTACGACCGCCGTTCCGCATATATATGGATAATGGGATAAGTAAATGTAACTGAAGAAAATAAAATGCTCGAAAATAAAACTCGGTATATATAGTAAAATGCGGGACGACGCAGTTATCTGAATTATGGGCGATTCTTTTTTTTCTTACCGGATTATTTTTTGCTTAACTATTCACGAAATGTCGTTTCCCTCCCACTCCGGGATCGTAAAAGTTTTTCGAGAAATACCTCAACTGCCTGCCATGCGAGCCTGACACTCTTAAGCTTCTTCCAATTTTAGAATGTCAAAGCCATACGTAGGTCGTAACCCTGCTACGTGACTTTCGAGCTCGAACTCCCTTTCGCAGGGATCATGTGCGCCTCGTTGGCGCGCGCCGTGTTCCAGACACGTGCCTCGCACGTCAATATAAACGACAGCGACGAAAATGCATACGAATTCGGGAAAAAAACGAGAGGGATTTCGAAAACGCAATAGTTCCACGTCGTTACCTCGCGGGCGAAGATCGGAAACGCGTGCGACACCCACCCTCCTTCTGGAGACAGTATGAAAAAGTAGCTATTCACTAGCTAGGGCTTCGGGATTTATTTTCCTCGAGACCATTGATAATTCGCCTCGTATACGCCCGAACCTAACGTATCTGAAGCTATTTTTCATTTTTACTTCTGAGAAAGCTCGCAGATATTGTGCACATTTCAAATCTTCTGTCATTAATACATATTTATCAAATTTCTTATTATAATTCTATATAATTATAGGATATTTTTAATAAATAAATCTAAAAATAAATAATATGTAGCATTCTATTATATTTATGTGATTAAAAAATATTTTTCAATTTCAATTATGATTATATAATTCTTCGTGTTGTACAGTTATTATTTTCATATTTATTAAAAACTTTATTTCTTTCCTTTTCGTCGCTGAGATAAAGTTCTGTCATACAATTCGTTGCATCGACGCACTTATATCGATCATCATGAGCTGTCCATTTTAAATGTTATCTCGATTGAAGGTATCGCGTCTTAAATATTTAAACCGAGGGGACGCCTGAGTCCGGGATGACTCAAGGTTCTCGCAAGACGCCTGTCGGCGTAAGGCGGTAAATCGCGTCACGTTCCTCCCAGCCACGGCCGTATCTTCCATCTATATTTTATCGCCGCTTTCAGGAAAATCGAACTCACTTCTAGATTCAGGAAGGGGGGAGGCAGGGGGGAGTCGTTTCGGGGATCCAACCCCCTCGAGGAGAAAGATCCGCATCGTGTACACGCTCGGGGTCTACTCTATACGCTACGGGATAATGGCACTTTATTTGCATGCGCGATCAATTTTCCCCTTCCGCGACGAGGGCGTAACGGCTACCGATTACATAATTTTCTTCGATATTAAAGCCGGTTCTCCGCCCCTCGGCGCAGAGAGGGTGCAGCCGTATCGCGTGCAACTTTGATGTGCCTCGGTCGATAGAATTGGCTACCTTAGGGTGGCGCGAACCGGGCGGGAGGAATGGCGTCTGTGCGGACCAGTGGGCCACCCTTGGCTACCTCATTGTTACGATTGTTTGGATCGACGCGACGAGGGGTCTTCACGGCGGAGCGTCAATAATTAACCAGTCGAGTAATTAAAAGTAAATAGTACCGCGGGAGAGAGAGCTAGCGTTCCGCGCTCCGTTATTGACGCGGAAAAACGCGCGTTGGCAAATACATCGAGGTAAAGCGAGAGCAGAGTTCGGCTCTCTCTCTCTCTTCCGCGTTTCACATCCGCGGGAATATTTTTTGTATTACACGTGCAGGCAAAGTTGCATGCGTGTTTTCTGTGCGGAAAGCGGTCGATTTCCCACGCCGCTATCTAGCGGCGACGCGGTGAGTGAATAAGCCGCATTCAAAGCCATTGCCTATGGCTGAGCCGCGTTTAAAGTCATTGCCCACGGCTAAAGCTGTGGGCAATACATTGCCCACGGCTTTAGCCGTGAACAATGACTTTGAACGCGGCTATTCCCGCAACATGGTGGCGTGCGATCGGCCACCTCGCGCACAGAAAACGTGCAACACGCACTCGTGACCAATTGTCAATTTTTCGCACTTGATACACAATAAACTATAGCATAAACATGTGCGCGCGGATGAAATCGCTCCGTCGATTCGCGTTATTATACCGGGATTAATGAATAATGCTAATGCGCTCACCGCGCCTGTGTTCGATTCGCGCTCTCTATGTTGCCCCGTCTTTTCTCGAGGCGCATAAAACTCGTGATTTGAATGGTATCAGATCGCGCCGGGATATAGCGCCGTGTCGCCGGGAATATAAATGGCGCGCACCGGGCGTGAAGAATCCATCCAAGAATGTCGCACGACGAGTTAAGGACATTTGCTTCGCGGTTGAACGTTCCTTGGTCGCGCCCCGGTGCGAGGAACCTCCTACTCTCATCTCTCATTTAGTTTCTTTTTTTTTTCGCGATCGAGCGTCTACAAATCCGAAACGAATCGGAGGTGGTTCGAAATACATCGCGGAGAGAGAGATCGTACGGCTTATCTAATCGAGAAACTTTTCTCTTTGCGCGAAACACGGTCGGGACCGACAAAACGAACGGGCATGGGAAACGACGCGAGGGTAAAATCGTAAAAGGAAACGGATCGACGGAGATTAAAAGAGCGAGAAAATGCTTTATTGCTTGCCCAACTCACCTTCCTCGGTGAAATGAGCGCCGCCCACCTTCACGTTGCCGTTGACTGTAAAAGGAAGCGCCGGTATAAGTTGGCTAATTAAAGGATTTCGATACTATCGAAGTCTTCTGATAAATTACTTTGGCAAACTGCAGTAAATCTGCTAGTTAATGCTATTTTATGATTTCGCGATCTATCAATGTTACAAGAAGAAGAAATTAGAAAAACGAGACATCAAAAAAATTCCTTTAAATAATTAAAATAACGATATACACATATAGAGAGAATGAGGATAAAATCGTCGTTATATAGGTACATACTTTCATTCTGTAAATGCTCTAAGGTGACACTTATTTTGACATTACGAGAAACAAAGAGCACACATCCGTAGTTGAAAACTTATTCGAGGTATAGGATGCGATTAGGCTCTCGTCGCAAAAAGATTGCAACGAGCGTGAAACGCAATCAAGACGTAAAGAAAAGTTCAGCGGGTGACTTACCGTTGCAGTTGCCGCCGGTGCAATTCGCCACATTGATGTCCCTACCCTGGCAAGATCGCCCTCCGTGGCTGGGTGGCGGCTCGTCGCACGATCTCCTTCTCGTGTGCGTGCAGTCGCTCCCGCACATGGTCCAAGCCGACCATCTGGACCATCCGCCGTCCACAACTGGGCGAGACAAAAAGAAAAGAAAGAGTAAGTTGGAGACTTCTCTCGCTTCGTTCGGAGGGATCGTTAAGGCGCGTCCGATCGACGTGTAGCGACGATAAAAAAAACGACTCGGACCGAACAAAACGCGCTCGTAACTCCTTTGCGGTCTCGTTGTCGAAGAGAGAATCATACTTGTCAACTCGGTTAACGTTTACTGCCTGGTTGTTACCGGCTCTTAACAACGACGTTTATTTCCCTTTCATATAATTGACTCGTATCGACACGTTTTTCCTTCGAGTCGTCGCGCGCGCGCGTGAAGGAGAAAAATAGAGAGAACCAACCGGGATCGGTGACTAACACCGAACCCGTTTACACATCCTACGGTCTCTCGCTCTCGCACCAAACCCCGGTTGCTTTATTGGCACTTAAGCGCCACCGGATAAACAGCCCGGCGCTCGCTTGCTTTCCGACGGTTTACTACGTTTTATTAAAACGCCCTTATATACGCGGTCGTAGCTGCGGTCGCGGTTTAATTTTCCCGTCCGTGGCCGAGGGCCATGATTCATGCGCATGTGAAGGAGAGACTTACCCAGGGTGTTAGTGAATTCCTCCAAAGGCCCGGCTACTCCCAAAGTGAGCGAGCGTTAAGGGGAATAAAAAGTGCGTCGTGAATGCATTGACCAACATGAGTGCCGTGTCTCTCGCGTGAAAAACGTCGAAAGAACATCGGATCGATCAATGTCTTGACCGCCCATTCTATATATAATGCGATTTTCCTCCAATATAGTGCCTCCCGGCGGACTCGATCGTTCGCATGCAGTCCGCGTATTCTTTACGAGAATAAGTATAGCTTTTAAGATGTCGCAAACGTTTCGAAAGGTGAATACGATTTAAAAGACTTCACGAAGAGACTGTGATGCGCTCTTTCGATGTCTTGGAAATGGGGGAAGGGGATTAGGTCGTAAATCAAACGAGAGTCTTGTCTCTTCAGCATCGGTAACATCTCTCGTCTATCGTAAAACGAAGACACCTTTTTGCTACACATTAAGTGAGCGACTACGTCGCCGTAGTCGGTTAGAACAAAGAAATATACACGAAAACACAGGCAAGAAGACTCCTCGATAGAGAGAAAGAGAGAGGAGTCTCTTCTTCGAAAGTCTTATTACGTGTGCGCGCGCGGATAATGAATTCAAGGGACTCACCGGGACAGGCTGTGTTGCAGTCCATCTTTTGCTGAGCCGGGCCGAGGCACGGCTGGCCGCCGTTCATCGGCGCAGGATTCGTGCACGTTCTCGTCCTCTTCTGACCGCCTTTCGCGCATCTCGAGTAGCATTCCGACCAAGACGACCAGGAAGACCAGCCACCGTTCACTAATCGAAACAAAAAAAATTTGTTTTAAACATATGAGAATGTTTTTTATTACTTATTAATATTTATTAGATATTTTAACCGGGAAATATATACACATATATAATAGATACAGAGTTAATTATATAAAAATAAATAATATATATATATAATTTTATAAAAATAAATAGAGAGAGAATTCTTACCGTATACTGTTAAGGTAACTGGCTCGCTTAGTCGTTTCGCAGCGATGTTTTCAGCGACGCACGTGTAATTCGCCTGATGGCTAAGTTTCGCTTGACCAATAAGTAGATGTCCCTCGCTGGACACTAGAAGTGTATCCGACTCGGTGTCCACGGGGATATTATTTCTTAACCAGTAAACTCTCGGTGGTGGCACTCCTACCGGAGGCAAACACCTGAGTTCGGTACTTTGGCCTGCTTCAACGGATACGGAATATGGTGGCGATTCGAATTGTTTCTTCAAATCTGAAAAAAATAATTTTGCATGCCCGTCTTGGTAAACGTGATAATAGGACGAAATTATAATTTATAAAATTTATACGAAGTACATTAATTTTTTACTTGTTCTTTTTGTATTCTAATATTTTTCAAAGAAAAAATTGATTCTATTTTATATCAAAATCTTTTTTTGATAGGAAATATTATTTAAATTGTTCTTTTTTGGTAATTTATGAACGTATCTCTTTATCTCTCATTTTTACGTCTAGCTTTTGAGTTATGTAACTTTGAAATTGGCCAAGTGGTTGTCCCTTTAAATTGATTCTCTTGGAAACTCGACGCTCATTGCATTGTCGTCAATTAAGGGACAGAATTAAATAACGACTTCGTTGGCAGGAGAATCAAGATAATTACGAGGGAACACAAAGACAAAGTAATTTGCTATGAGACTGCCGCTATACACATTGCAGCTTTTTATTTTAGTTGAAAAATTTTGTCAATAAAGTATAAGAAATTTAGATTCGTCTTGAGAAGAATTATTGGATTAAATGTACGATCTTACTTTTATATATATATATATTATATACTTACAAGCAACATCGATAATTGCCGGCTGGCTCTTAATCTGTCCTGACCCAGACCAAGCGACGCATTCGCATTTGAATTTGTCCTTGCTAAAGTACTCTTCAATGTGATCCCTCGTGACATTTAGCTCGCAGTCGACGATCCTTGTTCCCGTATGAGGATCTACGAAATCCTGCTGCTGAGATTCCTCCGCCCTCACATTATTACAACGGAAATAGATCTGCAGCGCGTGAGCGGCCTTGCAATGCAGAGTCGCGGGTTTGTTCTTCACGACGAAAGAGTTAACGGGTTCGGTGAGAAAAACTGGCAGATGGCCGCCACCTTCGGAAATCAACTCGGTATCGCTGGCTATCGTAGCCGAAGGCACCTCGTCTTCCTCTAGATACGAGTCCTCCTCTGCGGCATCTTCACCCTCTGTAACAAAGAAATAATTTGAATAATTTTTTAATAACTGCTTTTTCATTTTTCACATATATTTATTAATGCATAATTATTATTTTTAAATGCTATCTACTTCTTGCATAGATATTTACGATATTATTTAATTTATTAATATTCCATTTTTTTTATTAAATATTTTCCAATCTGCAAACAAACATCGCGGAAGCTCGTATACGTTAAAATGAATAATTAAACGTGACAAGGATATTAGAGGCTATTATAACGTAATGAATCGAGTCAATTTCGCATTATCATTATTATGCCGCTTTAACGTTTCAGCGCGCAATCAGCGCTGAAAATCTGACGAAATCGGTCGTCTACATTCTAAACGCACCGCAACCGTAACTCACGGTTCAGTTATTAATTCGATGATGATCATTATTCACGCGCGGCGCGCTCCGTCGGACTCTCGTGAAAATTTTATATTCGCCTGTCAACACAATGGCGTGTTCCCTCCTGTAAATCCTGACGGTCATTAATGCAGCGTCGCTTCGCGCAGGCCGAATACGCGCTAGGAAACGCCGGAGCTACGCGAACAATCGCGGGTTGCGCGCGCTGCGGTAATGAATTTTCGGATTTACGCGGCGCACCGGTGCACAAGTCCGATGTATTTTCCGCCAACGAGTGGTTAGACCTTTATCCCCGTGCGACATTTGGCCGGGGGCCACAATTTCCACGATAAACGCCGCCCTGTACCGTCGTCTCTTTCACTTCCTTCTCTCTCATACCCTCTCTTATTATTCTCTATTGAGGAGCTTATAAAAAAAAAATGCGCCGCGTCTGTAATAAACTGCCCACGCAATTCCATTTTTTATACGGTGCTCAATTTGTCAAGCAAAGTCCGATATCGAGCAGTCGGATTGTTGCAGTTTTGTACGATATAAATATAGGGATGAAAATTCTCTCATATGGTTGTTAACACACTAACGGATTAGCACCGCATTCTATATTGTCTCTATATCGTACGTATATAGTCAATGAATTGCAACGGCGGAGCCGGATAAACGCGATGTGTTACGGAATCAATACAGATGCGGCCATTGTCTTACGATCGATTGTTATGTGGGCGAAACGGATTATAGCGTATGATCAGAACAGTTTCGAGATTCTAGCAACGCGTACAGTGATGCATGATTCGATGTTGGTTGATTTTTTTTCCAGATTTTAACAATCGTTTCGTGTTCGTTAGTTAATTCCATTGCATGCGTTTTGCCAAACGAATATTTCCCAGTCAATGAAATCAAAGGGAGTGTTAAAAAATATATATAAAAAAATGTATGCCGCAGATTCGAGATAAAATATGGAAAAAGGAGAGGCGATTCATGACGGTGATGACGTTACAGTCGGGGTCGGCGATAGCCTGGGGGGGTTTCCCGAACGGGAAACGTATAACGATGACGCCCCGGAGTCACATGCAGAATTCGGGTAACGCGCGACGTCCTCGTACGAATACGAGACGCGTAAGTAAAATAGGATTTTCATCGGTTTCCGATAATTCGAGCAGATCGAATGGCCGATAGGACCCATCGAAATCATTCTACCCGGTTTCTCCTGATGGCGAATTCATCCATACGAATTCTCGTTAGCCGTTTGGGAGCATGCGACCAGTTCGTTAACCATTTCGCGAACATGCGTATATAGAGCTCTCTTTCGCCTGTATTCGTCGAGGGATTTTATTGTGTACGTATATTTTTCATACACGGAGCGAGAACGTCGTATATATCGAAAATGTCCGTATTGTCGATCGTGTATATCTTTGACATTATTACGTAACGTTGCATATACGAGCACAAAGGTGGATGAAACAACTATCGACCCCAATCGGAATTGGCTGGGTTCCTTAATTGCAGTTGCCTCGAGCGCGTTTATGGTCGATTCTTGCGAATCGGACGCGTTGTATAATTTGTAGCCGGCGTGATCTATTTGTACGGCGGGGTTATACATAGTAACTCTTCTCTCTCTCTGATAGCGGCTTTTCCAGTACACTGAATACACACAAAGGAAAGAGCGCACGCGATAACAAGACGCGGATTTAATCGGGCGACGTCACGCGATGCGCGGAAAGTGGAACGAGATGGAATGGGATTTTCATTGCTTCCCGACAATTCGACCAGATCGAATCATTGATAGGAACGCGCGCAAAACCGTTCGATCTGTCTCTCTCTATACATCGCTCTCCTTCTCTTTCGGCGCCGACTCGAATGCGTCGCCGTCAATCGATTCGCGTGTATTTTTAACAGCGTCCAATGACACGGTTAGTTTCTCTTACGTCGAAGCGAGGCTCTCTTTAAAAGAGCCGAAAACAAGACCCGCGAAGAGAAAGAGAAAGAGAGAGAACGCAGACACGAATAAGCGAACGACTTAATTGAGGCAGGTCACGCGACCCCGTAATGTCGAGTCAGTCGCGGAGAAAAAAGAACGTCTCCTCCATTGGTTCTGGATAATTATTCGGGGCGGCCCCGCGTGCGGAATCTTGCGGCCACAATGAATATTCGATGACCGTGAGCGCGCGGATCGGATCGCGATCATTATTCATTTTATACGCGAGGTACAAAACGTAACGCGGCACGGTCAATGATATCTGTAAAGGAGTGATTTTTTCGGATTCTTTGAGCGTCCTTTCCAGCTTGCAGAATCCTAGGGTTTCTGGTAATAATCATAATTTAATTGTGAGGATCAGAAGCCTGTTGTATTCTTGCGAGCAAATTGGAAAAAGTGTAAAAATATACTGGATCCCTAGTCGTAAGGGTATTACCGGCAATGAATACGTTGACGCGTTGGCGAAGGAGTCTTTGATGATCCGTTCCAGGTGAGTAAATGCCATTACACTAATCTTTATTCCAAATTTAAAAAAGAAGCGAAGAAAGAAGTAGACATAAGGGTGCCAGATATTTTAATCTGGTCGAATCAGTGCTTTTTCTTCCTTAGTATAGCCTGACGGGTTGAGAGCTGCCAAGACGGTTGGTGGTCATGATTTCTCGAATTAGATCTCACCACGTCTCGCTCCGGGGACACTTTCGAGAAAAAAATATTGTTGAATCTCCTGAATGTCCTTGTGGTCATCCATTCTAGGACCTCAACCATGTTTTCTTTAACTGTCCTGAATTTTGTGTATTTTCCAACAGACTCATCACCGCTGTTTGTGATCCTACTAAGTTCTCCAAGCAGAACATAATCTACGAAGAACTATCCAATTTTACGAAACGCACTGGAGTCAAGATATAGCTTCTCATCTAAAGGAAACTATGAGTATTGAAGATACAAAAAATACACAAGCCTGAAGCCTGATTCGTCAAAATTGTCTAAAAATGGTGTATGAGCTTTTATAGCTCCAGCCAAATAAGAAGAAGAAGAATTGGTTCCGCGGCGCGAAAACTGCGTCTATCTTTAAATCCGCCGATTAATACAACGATCGACGCCTGGAAAAAGTTTCGCCCACCCTCTGCTCCATCCCTTTCGAGGGAGGGTAATCTAATCGTGTGCGCGACGTCACGCGCGTCGTTTCGGAGAATTGTCATCGATTTCCGATAATTCGGCCCCGATCGGACGGACGATAGGGCCCGGATGGAAACGTATATCCGGTCTCATATCGTCGCCTGAATCACCTGGTCGCGGCGCCAGCATGAGCCTCCCTCTCTCCTTCTCGTTAGCCACGGCGGCCAAGCTAGTTAGTCGTGTCTCCGTTAGATACGCGTCAGACAGGGCAGACGGTAGCGGCTACATACACGTGTACGCACACACATGCGATGTGCATCCGCATCCTCGAACCCCACGTGGCTACTATGCGGGTTGACCACGTATCGCGTCCTGGACGAGACAGAGACACGGTGCATTCGTGTACGGTTTCATGATGCGTCCCGGGGTGAGAGACCACACATGACGCCTCTTAATTAACAAAGGTACCTGCAACACGGCAGCACACCGGGAACACCGTCGAGAGATTCTTGCTCGGTGACCGAAGCGTGAAGGAAGAAGGATGTGCGCCAAGTGTGTACCGCGCGAACGAAAACGAAGAAGAGAGACGAATTAAGGAAGAGACAAGGGGTTCCTTGTTTCTCGCGTCATACGCCTTGTTATTTTAGCCGGCGAACCGAGCAACGTTCCGAACCTTAACCACCTCCACCGCCACCAGTTCTGTTCCTGTTTCGTGGCCGCGGCAACATTGACCCAACGGTAGTTTGTATGTTTTTTTTTCTTTCCCCGATTTGCACCGTCGGAATAATAATACGAGCACCAATAATAACGGAGATTTATCGCGGTATGACACGCAATGAAATCCCGTCGAATCGAGATTTCGATCGTGGCGAAATGCGAAACCGATTATCACGCACGGAAAAGTATCCCGGTGCAGAGCGAATGGCTCGCGAGAGCGAGGCGCGTAAGGCTTTTCCGAAATCGGATTAGCCGAAAGTCGCGATCCCGGTGCAGAGCAAATATTTTGAATGGTCCTCGAGAGAGCGAGAGCGACAATAAGGCTTCCAAAAGTGCGGTCGTATTGAATTAACGTTTTCCGCGTTCGTCTATCGACGCAGAGCCTCGTTTCCGGTCGGAGAAATGTTGCGGACGTATACTGCGTGTCGTCACGTCACAATAGCGCATACGGCGCCTAGGCTCAGGTCGGGTCACCATTGTATTCCAGACCGTTGCCAGGATGAGAGATCACGACCTCCGGATTCGAATAACTCGAGAACTTTGTTGAACCGTCATGCCGACTAACGAGAGACACGACGAGTGGGTAGGTTTACGACGAATTTTTTTTCTTTTTTTTTTTATCGATCGATGCGTGGGAGATGGGGATATACGGTCCGATGCAGATCCGAGGAGAGATCGATGATGGAGATCGTGATACTTCGCTCCGGCGAGATCGGGCGACGAGATGACACCGTGGGGAAAGGATTAAAGTATTCCGACTGATCCGGATTGGTCGATACATCTTAATCCCACGTATAGATAGACTGGAGAGGGAGATTGCT